ACTAAAATACTTTCAGGGCCAAAATATGCCCACTCCAGTGAAGATAGGGTAGTTGGAAAGGGTGGGATAGGAGTCTTTTTACCCTGCTCCAAAACCTACAGTTTATTTGGTCCTGCTGCAGCAACGAGTGCTGGACTTGATGACTTCTCAAGGTCCCTTCCAGCTCCACATTTCTGTGATTGTTGGGCTGCTGCTGCTGCATAAGGGAAATAACCCAAGGGGTGTATCTGAGTGGAGTGAGCAGAGCAAAACTCAGGGACGGGCATGCTGCATCTTTTAAAACACCTCCCAGTGCAACTCCTCTCTTCCTCTCCAGCATGCATCTGACTCTCAAGAGACATAATTTAGCCCAACTTTAATCGTCAAAACCCAGAAAACACATTGTTAAATCTTCCCATTCTATTAATTACGAAGGCTACTGTACCTGGGTACTATAGAGCATAAAATTTAAAATATCATGCTGGTATGTTCCTGCTGTACTCAAAATGGGTACAGTGGTGTGAGTTAAGAATGGAGCATTGCTGGGCATTAGAAAAACATTTACAGTTTGTGACAATCTGTATTCCCTTTTACAAGACTATGATAAACTTTTTACAAAGTATGCCTTGTGAGGTATCATTTAAAAACTCATGATTTGCAGATCTTTATTGTCCTGGTAAAATATGTGTGGCAACATTGTATGCACAGTTATAAGATTATACTATATGATGTTACTAAAACATATTCCAAAGCCTGGGAAGCAGCCACAAAGCCACCTCAGGCAGGTGTCAACGAAATAAAATGGACTATCTCCTGGTGAAGTGGCCATTCTTTGGCAGGAGAAAAGATGTGAACAAGAGCTACATTTTGGCAAAGAAACAGCAGGAGGGTCCCATCCCCACAGACTTGCTGTCTCATGAAAATTAGCTGGAGATGATTTTCAAATAAAAAGAGAACTATAAGAAAGGGAAACAGATGCCCCAAAAGATCTCTCCCCTCAACTCTACTCACCGCATCAACAACACTTGATCCTGGAAGAAAGAAATTCAGCCAGTTAGACTTCTAGAACATGTGGTGAGAGAGAATTCACTTTGAATTCACTTAGCTTGTTAAGTTAGGTATTAGTTTGCATTTCACCTTTTATTTCGTTGTAACCAATTCTGACTTTTATGCCTCATTGCCTGTAATCACTTAAAATCTATCTTTCTGTAGTTAATCAACTTGTTTTATTGCTTTACCTAAACCAGTGTGCTTTGATTGAAATGTTTGGGAAACTACATTTAAGATAACAGGATTTGTGCATATCATTTTCTATTAATAAAATGTCAGACTTTATATGAGGTTGTGTTGTCCAGGAAAGGGCTGGGCAGTACAAGACACGCATTTTTTGAGGAAAGTCTGGGAATGGGAATTTGCTGGTGGTGTTCTTCAGTGTATTTCATGAGTGGCTAGCTATAGCACTCAGACAGTATAGCTGGGAGTGATTTACATGCTGGAGGTTGTGTGAGCAGACCAGGAGTGGTCGATCTCACAGCAAAGCAGTGTAAAAGGCAATCCAGACTGGAGAATTCAGAGGACAAAGCTGTTCAACAGTCCAGATTGTATGCTGGGTAATGTCACACGGTTATTTAGGAAACTTAACTCAACAGCTATCCAAAAAGTTTGCCTCAAAATGTTTGCGCTCTCCCTTCCACACATAAAATGAGGTTGTATCAAGTACTAACTTAGCGGCAGCCAGAGCCAGGGGCAGCTCCAGGCACCAGCGCAGCAAGCACGTGCCTGGGGCGGCAAGCCACGGGGGGCGGTGCGCCAGTCTCTGTGAAGGCAGTATTCAGGCAGCCTTCAGCGGCATGCCTGAGGGAGGCCTGCCGGTCCCGCGGCTTCGGCAGCAATTCGGCAGCGGGTACGCCGAAGGCGCGGGACCGGCAGATCACTCACAGAAATGCCGCTGAATCTGCGTGACCAGCGGACCGCCCACAATCATGCCGCCGAAGGCCGCCTGACTGCTGTGCTTGGGGCGGCAAAAAACATAGAGCCGCCCCTGTCCAGAGCCATTGGCATGGAAACTCAGATGTGGAGAAAAGAAAAGGAGAGCAGTGAGAAAGAATCAGAAGAAACATGTGAGAAGTCAGATCCAGTCCTTGGGGAACTTACCATCTGCATTCCTGCGTAGGAAAGGAGGAAAACAGTGATAAAAAATAACAGGTTAGAGTAGTGTTATTTCCTAGTCCAAAAAGCTAGGATTTTGAGGAGGAATTTGGAAAAGGAGAGGGATGTTTGAAACACAGATAGAAGGGCAATGTGAAAGAAGTTGCAAGAAAAAAAGATAAAGCCATGGGGTTAGATTCACCCAACATGAAGTACAAATTGTACTGGTGTCAACTTTCTATAGACAACAGAGTACCCTCCCACACTACCTGAAATAGACTGGCATGTCCTGTAGATGTTCTAGTATTGCATATGGTTATATAGTAGTAGAAAGGGTCTATTTCCATTGCCTAGGAAGGAGGTAGAAGAGAGTAAGGGGCATTTAAATATTAACTTGTGGTCTGATTATTTTACACACTTGTTACAGGGAGAGAAGGGATTTTGTCTTCTGGGAGTCCCTAATGAAAGTGGGGCTCCTAGAGCAGGATGGATGGGAACTCCCTCTTCAACCACTTTTCTGTCCCTAGGCACTAGTTGGGACAGTCAAGACTATGTCTCTTAGCATCCTAAACAGGTTGCATGTGACACTTACTTTTCAGTTAAATTGTCACATTTTTCACAATCTAACCTAACCATTTAAGTTAAAATTATTGCAATGCCCTCCAATAACTTTTAGTAGGGTCTCTTGCTTGCAGCTTGTTTAGAATGCAGAGGCACAATTTTCACTGAGTTGGATACTATTTTGATCCAACTTTTATGACCATCATGTGGCCCTTAACCCTGACTGCACATTAAATAGTGAATTGGATTTAACTTGGCACCGCCTGGGCCATCGGTTGCATCTGAAGCCAATTGTCATTTGGCATGGCATGGCATTAGGATGTGGAGGCTTACTGTACTGTGGAATCCATCTCATTTCCTCTCTTCCACTTTTTGTAACACCCTAAACCCTTTGTTTTTCCCCAAAGAGGTAAAGTCAGGACTGCGAGAAGGAGTTGCAGAGCAACGCACATAGTAAGAAATGAGAGCAGAGAGGTAAGGGAGGATGAATTATTGTAGTGTTTCAAAGGTGAGGAGAAGAAACTTCAAAGTGATGCAGTAAGAGAAAGACTAAGCCAATAACGGGACTCCAGGGAACCGGGGGCAGATTGGGACAACGTAGAGCCCTGGGACAGAAGAATGGCACCTGTGTAGAGGGATTTTGGATAAACAAGAAAGGCTGGGGTTGACAAACAGGTGGTAAGGATACAGACTCCATTTAAAGAAGATAATACATAAAAGTCAGGAATGTAGTCAGATAGAAAGATTCTTAACCCTCTTTCCATTTATGCTGGTTTTAATGGCACTACTACTAAGTCAAGAAGAACATTTTGGCCCCTATTTATTCTTTACAAGAATAATGGTTAATGAAATAATGTAATCGATGATCCCAGGCAACCTTTATTCACATTATGTACAGTTTCTGCAAAATATACCTTTGAACGTGATAATACAGAGCAAGCCCAGCACACTTTGGATCTGTGCATCCACAAATGGCAGCCAACACACCTGGAATATGGCAAAAGTCAGTTGAGCTATTGCTCCAGCAATCCAGAATTTAACCATGTTCCCAGCACATTAAGAATTTCTATATGTCCATGTATTGTAGGGGTCAACTGAAGTTGGAGACCACCCCCTTTTGGCTGGTGCCAGGTGTCTTGCTGCAAATATGGACTAAACTAATCATTTGAGTGTGTGTAAACTCACCATCAGGTATTAAAGCACCCATTTTGCTGACACCTGTTTGAAGACTGTTGATTCCCTTCTCTCCTACACCTCTTTTTCACCCGTGTAACTCCATTAAATTCAATGGAGCACCTCCTGATTTACAGCAATGTAAATAAAAGAAGACTCAGACCCTATTTGCGTCATGTTAATTCCCAACTGTGGATGGGGTTCTGTGTATTCTGCTGATGTAGAATAATTTTACAATGTAAAAGAAAACAGGGATTGTGCTCCAGAATCTTAGGCCTTGTCTACATAGAGGAGTTGCACTGGTTTAGCTATAATCGGTTTTTAAACTGCTTTTGGTTAAACCAGTATAAACCCCCTTGTCTTGGGGCAGGTCTTCACTACAGGGGGGGGTCGATTTAAGATACGCAAATTCGCATAGCTGAATTCGACGTATTGGAGCCAACTTACCACACTGTGAGGACGGCGGCAAAATCGACCTCCGCGGCTCCCCGTCGACGGCGCTTACTCCCACCTCCGCTGGTGGAGTAAGAGTGTCGATTCGGGGATCGATTGTCGCGTCCCGACGAGACGCGATAATTCGATCCTCGAGAGATCGATTTCTACCCGATTCAGGAGGGTAGTGTAGACCTAGCCTTGGTAGACAGTTATTTCAGTTTCCGTGGCTTATTTTGGTTTAGCTTAATCTATTGCTGTTTGACTTGGCTTATACTGGAATAAGCCTAGTTTGAACCCAAATAAGAGTGTCCAGACAGCCTTTTGCATCAGAGATATTTTGCTTGTTTTGTAAACAAGCCCACAGTTTTCATTTAGAAAAAAATGTTTCTAGCTTTTATGGTTGTGAAAATAACCTTGAAAATGTGACCTGAGTTCAAATCAATGCAGGAATGTCTGCCTGAGTTTGCAGAAAGCCAGATACAATAGCTCTAAGAGAGATGAACTTATAGTAATTCCATCTAGTTCAGCCACCTTTGCAGCTGGAATGGTCTGCAGTGATTTTAACTTTGTTAGAAGATTCCTTGCCATATTCCCAGGAATATGAGAACTGCCATACCTGATCAGACCAGTAGTCCATGTAGGCTGGGTATCCTGGCTCCAGATACTTCAGAGGCAGGTGTAAGAAAACTCATAATATCCTGCTGGTAGGGGAAGTTTCATCTTAGTTTCATGCAGTTTTTTGGCTGGCTAATGCACTATGTGTTTATATCCCTTATATCTTTTTATCCTATCTGTCATCTATCATGTATACCTATTGTTTGAACTATTCTCTACAGGTTCAGCCATAAAGGTCACAATAGGACATAGGTCATAAGTCAAAACAGATCAAAAGCTATAGTGTGCCAAATGTTGTAATATAATTCATGCTAGTGTATATAGCACATACATAAAGTGATAGCTCATGTTAGGACATTGCCTCATATTGCTCTTATAGTGCTACAGCTCCCCTAAGAGCGTTACAATATCCTTTTAACTTTCTCATGGATTCGCCTAGCTGAGAGTTATTTCTGGCCAGTGGAATGTACAGAGTTACCTTTTGGGTATTATTTAAGCAGGCGTTTTGTGATTTTGCCAGAGATCTTTTTTTGCAGGAGTCAAGGTGTGTATTGTTTCCCTAGTTTAAAAAAGAGAGAGAGAGGAGGAAACTGAAGATTTACACTTTGGCATAAAGACATATTGGGTATATGATCCCTTGGTCACAGCAGGGATATGCGGGAGAAGCCATATTCAATCAACTTTAGGTGCCACAATTTTTTGTATTCCATCTTAAAACAAAAAATAGACAACTTGTAACCTAATACTTCTTTTTCTGGTGTTGAGGAATGTTGTTTTTATTTTATTTTCTAAATGCTGCCACTTACGTTTTTGCTCATTGTTCTGTTTCTCTTGGATGAGAAAGAGATAAAGAATGAAAGAAAAAAACTCTGAAAATGATCCTTTTCCTATGTACTCTTCACCCTCCTCTCACTCTTTTGACTTTTCCCCCTTTGGGTACACATTGGAAAAGTCATTACTTGTGTGTGGAGGAAAAAGCATTTAATGAATCACAAAATCATTCAATTATTCTTAAAAACACTTCACATCACACATCTTTTTCCAAGTAAAGTGTGCATTTTTCACATTTAAATGGTGCATAACTAACTTATACAATGAGTCCCTAGAGTTAGAGACATTTTTATAGAAGGGTTCCAGAAGTATACACAGCATTTTGATGTATGTCAGCATTAAAGACCCTATATTTAAGATGCAGAGTTTCCTTCTCTCTCTTCTCTGTCTTTCAACAATATTTACGCAAATAGTGTTAGTGTTGTAGTGAAACTACCTAGCTTGTACCATAGTTAGGTTCATGTGCTTTGCTTAGCTCAGAGTGCTGCATTACCATATGATAAATTTCTAGTGATCCTTAGCAGCTGATGTGGTAGCCATAGTATTTAGAATTTTTGTAATGAAATATCTATTTGTGGAGGACTGTAGGACTAGAAGTGAGAGACTTCCTCTACAAGTCAAATTATTCTCAGTTGTTTGTTGGGTCTCATTCTACTCTCATATCAACTATTCACAAGTTTAATTCCACTGATTCTATAGGAGTTACTCTGGGTTTATGTACAGTGTAACTGAGAACAAAATCTGTCCTAATCTGTTTTTATTTTCTGGTGCTCTTCTGCCCTTTTTTTACTCTCTTCCCCATTCCTCCCCCGGCCCTTGAGTTTTTGTACGAACTTCAGCTGAAAAATCTCACTTTCTGAATGTTATGAAAATGTGTGCTCTGTGCACAGCAGGGCTATTGGGTTTGCAAAATTAGTATGAGGGCCAGATCTTCAGCTAGTGTAACTGGGCATAGCCCCATTCACTTCAATGGTGCTATGCTGATTTATACCAGCTGAGGATCTGGCTTTGCATTTGTAAACCTTTTTTCTCTCTGGGATTTAAACATGCATTTTTTTTCTTGGAGAGTCAGCTTTTAAACAATCCTTGTTTTACTAGCAGATTGGAATTATTGGACTATAATAGGGATAGCAGAAAACTGCTACCCTCAGAAAAGGTAGACTGACATAGTTAGTGCTGTATGTATGGTATGTTTAGATGAGATACATTCTTTCTTTAGAATTTTTCTCCTTCCCTTGTTGTACCATTTTTTTCAGTCTTTCCTATCCAAAATGTGAATTCAGAAACTTTCATGGTTGCAGTCAAGCTTTCAGACTCAAGACTTTCCTGAAGGTACAACAATTGGGCAAAATAAGTTACCTATCCCTATAATTCTCTGTTTCAGTTGAACAGTACAGTGTGTATTAGTGCATAATTTTCTATTTCCTTTCATTTCTCTGGAGTCCAGAGGGTGTTTTAAATTTACTTGGCCGTAAAATTTATAATATTTCACTTCGCAAGACAATTCTTTTAAATTCACTCGCATATCACTAGTCTGTAATACTAATGCTAGATGGCATTATGATAGACATACGTTCAGACTGTATTAGTTCCCATAGTGTGGGAAAAATCCTGGTCAAATGCAAGATGACATTAAAGGGAGACACCCTTTATGCAGCAAAACCAGGGCCCGCATGCAGTTGATTAATCCTGAACTGGTTGAGTCTGCCCTAGAAGGCAAAAAAGGAGGTCTGGAATTGAAGTCATCATGGATTAGAAGGCCAGAAGGGACCATTGTGATCCTCTAGTCTGTCCTCCTGTGTAACACAGGCCAGAGGACTTCCCTGAATTAATTTCTCTCTGAACTAGAGAATATATCAGAGAAAGCATTTAATCTCGATATAAAATGTTCCAGTGATGAAGACTCCACCACAGCTCTTAGTGAGACATTCCAAAGATTAATTACCCTCACTTAAAAAAAAAAAGCACCTTATTTCTTTTCTAGTCTGAATTCATCTAGCTTCAACTTCCAGCCATTGCATCTTGTTATACTTTGATCTGCCACACTGAAGTGCCTTCTACTATCACACCTCTATTCCCCATGTAGGTACTTCTAAACAATGATCAAACCACCCCTTAACCTTCTCTTTGATAGACTCAAGGAGCTCAATCCATTAAATTTATCACTATAAAGCATGTTTTCTAATCCTTTAGTCATGTCATCACTCTTCTCTGAACCCTCTCCAATTTACTTCAATTCTGGACACCTGAACTGGACATATTGTTCCAGTAGCAGTTATGCCAGTGCCAAGTAGAGAGGTTATACAATCTGCCTACTACTTGATATTCCCATTTATACATCCAAGGATCACATTAGCCCTTTTGGCTATAGTGTCGCACTGGGTGCTCATGTTCAGCTCACCATCCACCATGATCATTTAATTTTTTTTTTAATTTCCTGAGTCCCTGCTTCCCAGGATAGTGTCCCTGTCCTGTAAGGACGTATGGTCTACATTTTTTGTTACTAGAGGCATGACTTTACATTTAGCCATATTGAAATACATATTGTTTTGCATGTGATGAGCTTACCAAGCGAACCAGGTTGCTTTGTATCAGTGACCTGTCCTGTTAATTCTTTACCACTTTCCTCGATGTTTGTGTTATCTGTAATTATTTTATTTTCTTCCAGACCATTGATGAAAATGTTAAATAGAGCAGGGCAAGGACCTAGATCATTTGCTTTTGAGCTGTCAGTGACTCAGAAACTACTAAGGCCATTTTAGAGTGTCCTTCTTCCCCTTTTGCCTCCGTGATCCTTCCTAAATAGGTTATATTCCAGTTATGCAAATCTTCCCAACGGGTTTCAGTAATACCATCTACGTAGAATTTGTGCTAATAAATGGTTGATTCCATTGCCTCTTATTTATTACTAACATTCCTAGCATGGGTGTAAAGACAGTTAGATAATTTCTTTTTATGCTCCTTGGTGCTTTGGTTAATTTTGTCCTTTACCTTGACTTTGTTGTCAATGAGTGATCATTTGTTCCCCCTTTCATCCTCACATTTTTTGTTGATTTTAAGTCAGTGAAGCTTGGACAATTTACATCAGCTCAGGATCAGCCTTGGCATCTCTCTTGATTTTAATAGGAGCTGGATTAGGCCCTAGACGCGCAAGTACGTCTTCCTATTGACCTTTAAAGTAAAATGTATAGATCCTTGGAATCATATGTACAGCATGAGAATATTAAATATAAAAACAGTATTCAGATTTACTGTAATACATTAATGCATTTGCATTTACAGTAGTAAAATATTTCACAGCAAAACTCCCAGTAAAATCATTAGGGCCAGGATTTGACCTCAAGTATGTTCAAATCTTCAGCCATCCAGCAGCTTCTCTGACAAAGGCTAGTCCAATATAGTGACTTTACTCCACACCAGACTCATTACAAAATTCAGTTCCTGGGCCATAACTCCAAGTTTTCTCCCCCTGCATTTAATCATGTCTTTGGAGAGATAGTGAACAACTGAAAAAACTGACTTGAACAGAGGTATTTCACTTAGTGTATTATTTTTCTATCAACTTTTGTTACAATACTTAACAGAAAATAATCCCTAAATATGGTTTGAAACAGAAAAATATTGAACAAAATTTTATTCGCATACCAAATCATTGCTAATTAGGGCTGTCAAGCGATTAAAAAAATATCATGATTAATCACATGATTAAAAAAATTAATTGCAATTAATCACACTGTTAATAATAGAATACTATTTAAATATTTTTGGATGTTTTCTATATTTTCAAATATATTGATTTCAATTACAACACAGCACACAAAGTGTACAGTGCTCACATTTGTTTTATTACAAATATTTGTGCTGTAAAAAACAAAATAGTATTTTTCAATTCAACTCATACAAGTACTGTAATGCAATTTCTTTATCATGAAAGTTGAATTTACAAATGTAGAATTATGTACAAAAAATAACTGCATTCAAAAATAAAAAAGTAAAACTTTAGAGCCTACAAGTCCATTCAGTCCTACTTCTTGTTCAGCCAGTCACTTAGACAAACAAGTTTGTTTACATTTGCAGGAGATAATGTTGCCTGCTTCTTGTTTACAATGTCACCTGAGTGTGAGAACAGGCATTCACATGGCACTGTTGTAGCCAGTGTTGCAATATATTTACATGACAGATGTGCTAAGGAGTCATATGTCCCTTCATGCGTCAACCACCATTCCAGAGGACACATATACATGCTCATGATGGGGTCTGCTTGATAATGATCCAAAGCAGTGCAGACCAATGCATGTTCACTTTCATCATCTGAGTCACATGCCACCAGTAGAAGTTTGGTTTTCTTTTTTGGTGGTTCGGGTTCTGTAGTTTCCGCATCAGAGTGTTGCTTTTTTAAGACTTCTGAAAGCATGCTCTACACCTCATTCCTCTCAGATTTTGGAAGACACTTCAGATTCTTAAACCTTGGGTCAAGTGCTGTAGTTATCTTTAGAAATCTCACATTGGTACCTTCTTTGCGTTTTGTCAAATCTGCAGTGAAAGTGTCCTTAAACTGAAAAACATGTGCTGGGTCATCATCCGAGACTGGTATAATATGAAATACATGGCAGAATGTAGGTAAAATAGAGCAGGGGACATACAATTCTCCACCAAGGAGTTCAGTCAAAATTTAATTAATGCGTTATTTTTTTTAACGAGTGTCAGCAGCATGGAAGCATGTCCTCTGGAATTGTGACTGAAGCATGAAGGGGCATACGAATGATTAGCATATCTGGCACATAAATACCTTGCAATGCCTGCTATAAAAGTGCCATGCGAATGCCTGTTCTCACTTTCAGGTGACGTTGTAAATAAGAAGCAGGCAGCAGTATCTCCTGCAAATGTTAACAAACTTGTTTGTCTGAGCGATTGGCTGAATAAGAAGTAGGACTTGTAGGCTCTAAAGATTTTTTGTTACATAACTACACTCAAAAACAAAAGAATGTAAATCTACATTTGTAAGTTGCATTTTCACGATAAAGAGATTGCATTACGGTACTTGTATGAGGTGAATTGAAAAATACGATTTCTTTTGTTTATCATTTTTACAGTGCAAATATTTGTAATAAAAATAATAATATAAAGTGAGCACTGTACACTTTGTGTTCTGTGTTGTAATTGAAACAATATATTAGAAAATGTAGAAAAACATTCAAAATATTTACTAAATTTCAATTGGTATTATATTGTTTAACATTGTGATTAAAACTGATTAATTGCGATTAAATTTTTAATCACTAGTAATTTTTTTCAGTTAATCGCGTGAGTTAACTGCGATTAATCAACAGACCTATTAATATAATCTGAATTGAACGTTTTGGGGTATGTGAGTATGTTTATTATCTTATATACAGTCACATTATAAAATGCATAATGAAAGAGAGAGGATTTTACAGGACAGAGGGTAAAAATATATTTTGACTGAAAGCTCATTGTGGTGGGAACTGTCTTACTGTACACACATATAGCACAATTTCAATTCGACTGAAATACTACAAATAATAAATATTAAATCTCTAACACTAAAATAAATTAATAAGAATACAGGTGTTAATCTGCCAGTGTATGGTATATTGCCCACTTATACAGATCCTATGCCAAGTACCTTATTATTTTTTGGGTAATAATCAATTGTGTATAAAGGCATAGGTATGCGTGACACTTTTGAAAGGGAGTAAAGACATGTTGGGACACTCCAATCAACATTAATGAATTAACAATATATTTTGCTTTAAAATGATAAAGGGAGCCTGAGTGGACAGGAACTAGTTGCATTTTGTAAGCAAACACGTTTCCTACCGTTTAATGTGCATGAAACACATTGGTTGCATTTCTTATCGGGTCCTGGGATTACTCAAACTAAAAGAGAGATGGAAAAATCAGCATAATGATGCCTAAATGTAAACAACAAAAACACTTACAGAGAACATTCATACTACTAGAACACTGAGAAACCCAGGATTGAATGGACACGGGCCCACATCCAGAGGGATTTATGCACCTAAATCTGAAATTTAGGTGCCTATATTCCAGTTATAGGAACCACTGTGATCCACAAAACCCCCACTAAGCTACCACCTAACCCTGTAGGTGCCTAAACTCACTCAGTGTTCAAATTTTGACAGTAAAGGTTCCCAAAGCGCCTAACTTTCTGCCTCTGGGCATGTGCACTGGTGCCTCTCTGGGATGATATGGGGAATGGAGGGTCTTATGAGAGGAGACTGGAAGAGCTTGGTCTGTTTAGTCTAGCTGAGAGGGGATATGATTTCTCTCTATAAATACATTCGGGGGATGAATACCAGGGATGGTGAAGAGTTATTTAAGTTAAAGAATAATGTTGACCCAAGAACAAATGAATATCAACTGGCCATGAACAAATACAGGCTGGAAATTAGAGGGTTTCTAATCATCAGAGAGGTGAGGTTCTGGAATAGCCTCCCAGTGGGAGCTGTGGGGGTAAACAACTTAATTAGTTTTGAGAGAGAGCTGGAAAAAATGTGAGTGCAATTGTATAACGGTTGTTTGTGACGGGAGGGCTCAGCAGCCCTGGGGCTCATTTCTGGCCTACATCCTGTGTTCCTAAAGCTCATGCTTCAGAGGTTCAGCCAGGCACCAGGAGGGATTTTTTTCACCCAATGTATTCGGGCAGGGTTTTATATCTCTTTCCTCTGACGCATCAGGAGATGACCACGGTTGGAGATGGGACATTGGGGGTGGAGTGGGCCACAGCTCAGAAGTGGCATTGAGTATTCTCTTGGCTGGCTAGTTCTTGCCAACACGTTTAGTGTCTAACTGATTGCCCTATGTGGAGTCAGGCAGGACTTTTCCCCCCGGGTCAGATTGGCAGTAATCTTGGGAGGGTTTTTTGCCTTCCTTTATAAGGTGTGGGTTTGAGTCACTTGCCAGGATTATCTGGGTGTATCTCACTTAATCAATTCCCTGCCATTGCAGGGACCTGGGGCACTGGTACACCTCGGTCCCTCCTCTTCTGTGCCTGTGGCACATAATAGTCTAGTCTCCTGTAGATGGAAATGCTTTGGTCTCATTTGGGTTGCTAGGTTAGTGTGCAGGTGCGAGGTAGTGTTAATAGCCTGTGCAATCTGGGAGGTAGGAGACTGCATGATGGGGAGAAAAGATTTGAACAGTGGTCTCCTACCTCCCAGGTGTGGGCCCTAACTCCCATGCTATAGAATCATTCTCTCTCTTGTGCAATGATTTAATTAAGTATTTATACAGAGTGAAACAGCTTAAACAAGAAAGACTGAGGGAAACCCATATCAGAATATCCCAATATCTCCTGAGAGATGGGAAGAAGGGATTTGAACAGAGGTCTTCTATCAGGCAGCGTCAGGAACTGAACCCAGGTCTCCCATATCCAAGTGCTCTAGCCACTGGTCTTAACCCTTATAAGGTAGGCACCGCCACCAGCCCCCCCCCCCCCCATTTTTTGTGATGTGAGATGAGGTGAGGCAGGCACACAACACATTATTGCAAGAAACGGCTTAAGTGTCTAAGCTGCCTGAATCCACGAAAGAGGTGCCTAACTCCATGAGAGGGGCGAGGCTTAGGACCCATCCCTCTTGTTATCTGCCATTGGTTAGCATAGGCAGGCAGCCACCTAGCATGCTGTCTTTTGTGGAGCCTATTCACAGGCATCTCTCTCTCTCCATTGTATAGGGAACCTAGGTGCCTAATTCAGGATTTGGGGATCCCAATATTGTTCCAATGATTTCTAGGGGCCTAAAATTTAGCACTACCGTGCCTAAGTCCCTTTGTGGTTCAGGGCCATAGATAGTAAAATGCCCTCTCACCAGTGAAGACGGTCCTTGAGACATTGACTGAGACATATTGGATCTGTGCTGAACAATTTGGGTGTAAATCTTTGTTCTTTCTTTCTTCATGAGCAAACTGAAGGGAAACTGACTAGGACCCAGAGCCAGCAAAGGACTGAAGTACATTAGTTAAAAATGTGCTTAAGTCTTTTTCTGGCTCTAGGCCTTTATCACTACACATTAAGTAGAACAAATCACAGGCCACAGATTACCTCTCTTGAGAATAATATAGAAAGACTCTTGGCCAGGTTCAATGGCTGACAGATGCAGGAGCGGTGCAGAATGAGGTTGTGGAGTGGCGTCTCTAGGTATACGAGATGAAGATCTCTTGTGATGTGTGTTGATAAGCACTATGACAATGGAGAATTTGGAGAGAAAAATCAGATGCAATCCTAAAAACTAACCTGATCATCTCCTAGCACTGAAAGGTGGACATAGTTGCTTTTGTTACTAGAACCCTTGCTGATCATCTAATAATCAACCTAAAAAAAAAAAGGAGCTTTGTTTATTTATGGAAAGAGGCTGTGGAATGTCTATATGGAGAGCAGTGAACAAAGCTAGTGCACATTTATAGAAGCCATGTCTCATATAAGAGGGGTGACAGATTTCTAAAAGCAGCAAGGAAAAAGCAAGATACTCAGTATCAGGAGAATAAAATCCTTTTTTCGAGCCTCTCCCAGCTCATGCAAGCCAAGAAAAGAGATCTAGTGTTTCCGGAAAAAAATATTTTGATAATTCTCACCAAAGCTGCAGTATCTAACCAGAAAAAAAATAAAGATCCTGCACCAGAAGATAGCTTCTAGGACAGGACATTCTTGGGGAATGGTGGAAACAAACAAGTTAAAAACCCCAAATCTCTGAAAACGGTAAAGCTAATGGTGACTGAACCCTTTCAAGTCACTCTTTGAAACCTTGGCAACAATCCACGCTTTTTGCTAACCCTTTGTTTTCAATCAGAAAGTCTGGAAAATGTTGCTTTAATGTGAATAATATTAATATTTACAGTACCTGTAATGGGGATACTACTAGCTCACCATATGATATACTAACCCTTTCATGCAAGCTATTTGTGTTTTGAATGTGGCCATTTGATGAGAATTCTTCAAACTCAAATAGTTTATATGATTTTTATTTAGTCTAAGATTCCCCCCCCCCAATATACATCAACATACACACATTGCGAGAACTAGAGAGAAAATTCAACTCTCCAATAATCTTTATAGGTCAACTGTTCCCTTAATAATCTCTCATTCTATAAACACCTAAACAAGAGAACTAGAGAAAAATTACTGGAAATAGTAACAGACTCAATACCTTTGAAGATGTTGCTGAGCTGGTTTAATAACAATGGTTAACTAGTTATATAGGAAACCTGGGAATCATGAATAGAGTTAGTTCCTCTAAAGTTGAAATTTTACCTTTTCCTTCCTTCCCCACCCTTAACATAAGAGTAAATTTTCCCCCACAAATCTGCCTTGCATGGTAGACCTTGTTTCTGATATTCCATTCTCCCTTCTGTATGTGTGTGGAACTCGCTTTGATACCAAAGAGATATTGGCACATCATGCTCTCTTGGTAGACACTTCAGAAATGTTGCTAGATTAAATAGCCAGGGACAGCAGAATTTGAGTTGTGATCCACCAAACAGATCTGAGAGAAGTATATTTCTCTAAGAGAGGATAGACTTTCAAGATACGTGGTGCTATAATGGGGGATGAGGACTTTTCAATTCTAATCCACCCATTCCGGATGAGAGAGACTGAGCTAATACTCTCGTGTATGGTGCATTGCATCTAGCTACGGAAGTAGTGTTAGGGTGGAATTTATGAACTCTAAATTGTTTGCCAGGAAATGTTTACTAGCTTTACACAATAAATGACTGTGAAAGCATATCCCTGAGTTTAATGTGATATGCCTATTTCCTTACATTTGGTACAAAGTATTATGAATACCAATAAAGGAAACTTTTTAAAAAATATAAAACAAACAAACAATGCATTTTCATATTTATGGGACCTAGTTTGGAAAGGTTGGGTTGACTACAGATTGTACAGGGTAAATTTATTGCACTCACCTCTGGATTCATGCCATGCCTGACATATCAGAAATGAGATGTATGACTTTATTTTTAGAGCCAAATACTCTCATCATCAAGGTATATTTTAAAAAAAGAATCTTGTTACCATAGCCGCAGTGTGTCATATACAATGAAGAACTCTACATGCATAAGAGAAGGCTAGATATAAACCCCCGAAAACGAGTGCAAAACTCCACATTTAGCAGGTTAAAATGTCAAACAGTTTTGGACTTCTCTTTGTTAGAGTTTGTTGCACCTTATCTGTAATCTTTTATCTTCGACAGTTCAATGCTATGCTAGGGACAAGTGTACAGTTTTACAGGATATGTTACATTAGATACTTTGGATAATGCTTCGCAGAGTAAGTGAGTACATATGGGTACATAAAGGTACAGAGTAACAGTTTTAATGTCAGAGGGTTTGTTTTCTTCTGCACAGTGTGCCTATGTAACAACCCTCATTACTATTAAGAAGAGAATAGACCTAACATAGTTTGTTTTAATCATACAATAGGTTTTGAAGAGAGTGAGATGCTGGCATATTTTTTGCATGTGTGCGTGTGTGGGTGATTTTATATATACAATTTAACAATGTGATTTTCAAAGATTAATTAGGCATTTGCATTTTCTATAAATAGAAATCAGTAGCATACATGGATACTCCCTTTCCATAATGCTTTGCTCTATAGGCTCATAGAATTGAGTTGATTTATAAAGGTAAATTTAAAGAAAATGCCAAAATTAGAGGTTTGATCCTGCAAACCTTTGCACGTCCACAAATCTGATATCCGCAATAAGACGTCACTGGGATTTTGAGGTGTGCAGGAAATTCAGGATCACTTTTTTAATGTATTAATAAATCAGCTTAGCTGCTGGACTTTTTATTAACATTTTTATGTTAAAATGCAGTTTTCAGTGTGTCTCTTCAAATCACTCTGAAATAGTAATTATGTTTAATTGATTATTTTTTAATTTCTATTACACTTTAACTATGGGGCTGGCCCTGTAAAGGGCTGAGGGTCTCCTGTGAAGTGACTGTGAGTAGAAAGGGCTCAGCACTTTATAGGGTCAAGTTTAAGACATTTTATAATAGAAGACATTTGGGGGATGAATTATTTTAGATTTTATTAATAGTATACAGTAGGCTAGTAATGGAGATTTAGTAGAATTTTGAGAATAAGTAATTCTAGGACTCTGTAGGATTCAAAGAACTTAACCCAATGAAGGATTAGCAAATATACAGCGCAAATTTTATCGGAAAAGTTTTGGTGACAGCAAAAATTATTTGTACACCTGGGAGTTTGTATAATTGGATGCATTTTTCTTATTGGACCTTTTAATTCAAATTTTTGTTTCAAATTAAAAGAGGTTAGATAAACAAGATTTTACTGTAAATAATGATTTACCACCAAATCGCAGCCAGTTCCTGCTGCCGATAACAAGTTTGGTGGTGGGGAAATCCTAAATGCCCCCAAAGCAATTTATTTGACCAGTGTGCTATATTACTTTAGAAAGAGCTGCAGTATTTGGTGACATGAAGCAAATGCCACAACATTCAGTATAACATAGCCAAAACACTGATGTTTCTTATGCCTTTTCCTTTCATTAGAGGCATGTTCTGCACCACCAGATGCTGCAATCTAGATTTAGGGGCATATATTAATCTTGCACAAACAGGAGTTGCATATGTTATGAGTTAATTCCTTTTTGTTGTTCTCTCTTGCACATGGAATTTTGAAACAGTTAAATACATGGAAAATATTTTTAGTTTGCTGTATTTTAGTAGCTTGTATTGAAATATCCTCGGATTACTTATTAATGAAAAATTAAATCTGTTATATATGTGCAACAACAAAATGTATGAACGATCCCATGGACACACAGTGCTCGAGGGAATTGCACAAATCTGGACAATGTCCCTAAGTGTTGGGTTTTGCATTTGAGTCCCGAAGTATCTGAAATTTGTGTAGAATCATATTATTTGTATGAGAGTTGTGCCTAAAGGCCCCAGATAGGATCATTATACCCTGGTGTTGGCACTGTACATATATATAGTAATAAACAGTGCCTGACCAAAATAGCTTACATAAACCAGAGTCATGCCTGTTAATGTTCCCTCTGAGGATGTCACAGTGCATTGCCTATTAAAGCAAAAGACACAGATATCATAGTGTGTCCATTTCAGGTGCTAGTAGAGTATATGCATAACTATCTATTCCAAGTTTTGAGTGAACAATAGTCTATTAGGGACCACGTGGTAATAATCTAAAAGATACATTTCTGGAGGATATAGGTACTCCTCCAAAGGATCAACAATTTTAGTACTCAAATCAAGACACAAAAGCACATGCCTAACTTGAACATAAGAACAGCCATACTGGGTCACACCAAAGAGCCATCTAGCCCAGTATCCTGTCTTCTGACTGTGGCCAATGCCAGGTGCCCCAGAGGGAATGAACAGAACAGGTAATCATCAAGTGATCCATTCCTTGTTACCCATTCCCAGCTTCTGGCAAACAGAGGCTCGGGACACCATCCCTGCCCATCCTGGGCACTAATTTATCTGGTTCTTTTTTGAACCATTTTATAGTCTTGACCTTCATAATATCCTCTGGCAAGGAGTTCCACAGGTTGACTGTGCGATGTGTGAAAAATACTTCCTTTTCTTTGTTTTAAAACTGCTGCCTATTAATTTCATTTGGTGACCCCTAGTTCTTGTGTTATGAGAAGGAGTGAATAACACTTCCTTATTTACTTTCTCCACACCAGTCATGATTTTTTTAGACCTCAATCATATCCCCCCTTAGTCATCTCTTTTCCAAGCTCAAAAGGCCCAGTCTTATTAATCTCTCCTAATATGGCAGCCGTTCCATACCACTAATCATTTTTGTTGCCTTTTTCTGAACCTTTTCCAATTCCAATATATCTTTTTTGAGATGGGGCGACCACATCTGCACACAATGTTCAAGATGTGGGCATACCATGGATTTATATAGAGACAATATGATATTTTCTATCTTTTTATCTATTTCTTTCTTAATGATTCCCAACATTCTGTTTGCTTTTTTGACTGTTGCTGCACATTGACTGGATGTTTTCAGAGAACTATCCACAATGACTCCAAGATCTCTTTCTTGAGTGGTAATAGCTAATTTAGACCCCATCATTTTATATGTATAGTTGGGATTATGTTTTCCAATACGCATTCCTTTACATTTATCAATACTGAATTTCATCTGCCATTTTGTTGCCCAGTCACCCAGTTTTGAGACAC